ATAAACTTAGCAGATAATTGTAAACAATATATCTGAATTTTTTTTGTATCTCAATTGAAACTTCAGAACAAATAAGTCACAATTTTATAATTGAATTAACTAATGACAATAAACTAACTATATACAATCTCGATTGTTATGAAGATGTTTAACCTGCACAAACTTTTATAGCACAAAAGTATTGATTAATGAGATACTATATGGCTAAACAACCATTCCTTATTATAATGTATTGCAAAACAGTTCAGTAATGGAATGCCAAAATTACAAACCCCAGGTATTGTTAGTGGTTAGGCCTTCATAAAACAATTGTACCAATTAGAAACGAGACTAAAGAATTCAAACTTAAAGGCGATAAAACTAATTCAAAGTATAACGTCATGGAGTAAAAGCTTCATGCGCAATATCAAAGTGGCTAAAGGCATAAACTAAAGCTTGAACACAACCACTAGCACTCAAAGCCATTAAATACAGATGGAGTTTTAGTGAAACTATATCTCCATATGGTTGGCTCACATACAGTTGCCTGTTTCTTTGACAACTAATCATGGGGTATTATGAAACTTGTAGATGTCTAATTAACTCAAATAAGTATCAATTTTAAGCAGAAGCAATAAGGGATTCATCCATTATTAACACAAACAACAATTTTCAGTTTTCACACCCAATTGCATTTTCAATATTAAGGGGTGGCTTTGACACAATTTAACAAAATTGATTGTAGCCTACTTGTCCCCCATTTGAGCATTATGCAAACAATAGTCACTAAATTTTACATCCAAAACCCAACAAGGTTGAATGGGATTAAGCCTATCATTGCATTATAACTAGTTCTCCCAAATTACTAGAATAAAACATCACAAAACCCTTTCGGGATGTCTTTGGGGAAACAGTTGCAGTATAAATAACAAATTATGTCATTAGTTACCTTATTTACAACAAACCTCTAAATTTCTTATACTCATAAGACTTGCCAACAATCCTAAAGAACTAAGTTACCATTTTCAGATTTACATTTCATATGATTTGTATAGGAAAAATGAAAAGTGGAAACATTATTCTTTACAAAGTTATCGAGCAGTGGATTTGGAAGAAAACAATTTTGCAAAATCCCACATTTTCAAATTTTGCAGGTTATATTGTCCACAATTTGTGTTCTATTCTAACATACTGAATACTGCATTCTATTGAAAAATACCTAGTAGTAGCCACTATATCTATGCAACCATATAGTTTAGGTCACATACGAGTTTACTTTCTTACAAAGATTACACGGTTGCTTACTTAACTCTGCATTTTTTTGCAGTTGATGGACATTAAAGGCGTACAATGTTCTTATGCTACACTGAAAACAATGTGAAGAATAAAACATGAGCTCTTTCTCATTAAAAGCATGGGTTATGACTTAAGAGTCATAATAGAAATTTTAAAATAATTTATGCCACCATGCATCAAGTAAGAGATGCAAAATCATCATCTCCTCGATAATCAACATTCTATAAGTTTATCTTGCTTGTATTTAAGGGAAACTAAGTTCAAGCTAACTGCATGATCATTTCATCTCCATTCTAAAACAAAACAAAATATATATTCACTAACCTCAATAAACCATGATTGCTTCAATAAAATAAAGTTCTTCAATACCTAATAGTTACTTTACTGTCATAACTACAACATGACATAAATCCTTTCAATCATCTACCCTAGAATCAGATTTCAAGCCTTGTCTTTCTTTGCCTATGGTGAAGGCCTACAACTTCTTATCAATGTATTTTCCCTTACAGGAGTGCATCCCACCATACCAATGTTACAACCAAAGGTTCTTCCTATAGTCAACTAGATCTACATATCTTCCTTCATGCTCCCACTCAAATGTGTTACAGTTATCTCAATAGCCCATTTCTCAATTCAGATACATTCTTTCCTAACTCCGATCCAGACATTACAATCATCATTCTTCAAAGTTGATGTAAACATTACATTTACACCACAAAACCAATCCACTTTTCACTCTTTCTTTACCATGCCTTAGCCAATTGCAAAACAAAAGGGAAAGGTACTGCTTGACATCACTTTAGATAATTACAATATAACTGACATAGTTAAAATCTTTCTTAAGCACACCTTAGAACAAAACAGGACATTAGCAATTGCTTCAAACATAATTACTGACTTACTTAATAACTCAATAACTCATTCTTTTCTGAAACTACCACTTAATCACATAGTGTAGACACTAAGCATAGTTGTGTGTTTGCAATAC